AACAATTCTAACATTTTGACTCTATACAAAAACACAATGGATTTGAAATAAAATGACCAAGATGTGCTTTAATTGCAGACCGTCAGCTTTAATTTGAAGGTATGTAAATCCAAATCAGGTGAACGCTGTAGGAATTACAACAGTTTGCATATGTGCCTCCCACTTGTTAAGGCACCAAAAGTAATTGGACAATTGGCTTCTAAGCTGTTCCATGGCCAAGTGTGTGTTATTCTCTCATTATCCCAATTACAATGGGCAGATATACGGTCCTGAGTTGATTTCAAGTGCGCTATTTGCATTTGGAATCTGTTACTGTCAACTCTCAAGATGAGAGCCAAAGAGCTGTCACTATCAGTCAAGTAAGCCATCATTAGGCTGAAAAAACAAAACAAACCCATCAGAAAGATAGCAGAAACATTAGGCCTGGCCAAAAGACCCGTTTGCAACATTCTTAAAAGAAAAGAAAAAAAAAAATCGCACCAGTGAACTCAGCAACACCAAAACACCTGGAAAACCACAGAAACAACTGTGGTGGATGACCAAAGAATTCTTTCCCTGGTGAAGAAAGCACTTCACAACAGTTGGCCAGATCAAGAACACTCTCCAGGAGGTAGGCGTTTGTATTTCAATGTCAAGGATCAAGAGAAGACTACACCAAAGTGAGGATGAATTCTGCAGGGTTTCAGGCAATATTTTCTGCTCATATTAAGCCAAATGCTTCAGAACTCAATGAACGCCACTTCACAGTGCAGATGGAGAATGACCCAACGCATACTGCAAAGAAAACTAAAGAGTTTTTGAAAGGAAAGAAGTGGAATGTTATACAATGGCCAAGTTAATCACCTGATGTGAATCCGATTGAGCATGCATTTATTTCACTTGCTGAAGACAAAACTGAAGGGAAAATGCCCCGAGAACAAGCAGAAACTACAGACAGTTGCTGTAGAGCCCTAGCAGAGCACCACCAGGAATTAAACCCAGTGACTGATGATGTATATGCTTTCAGACTTTGGGCTGTTTTTGACTGCAAAGGATTTGCAACAAGTATTAAAAAGTGTAAGTTTAATTTATGATTTTTATTCTGTCCAATTACTTTTGGTCCCTTAACAAGTGGGAGACACATACAGTAGGTGAGAGTTCAAAGTGACTATTACTGCCGTGTCATATACCGCCGCCGTTTGAAATAGGAGCCGCTTTGTTTTTAGTGTATGACCGCAGTTTGTGACTGAGCCGCCAGGGGGGCGCAAAGGGACGGGATGCGAACGGACAGAAATAGCCCACACAGCAGCCTTAAATATGCTACTGTGCTTGTAAATGAGATTAAACAATAAGTCAAAGCATTATAATTCCTTTATTAATCATTTAAAATTTGTTAACACGATTTATTGTTATTCTAAACTTTTTAAGTGCAAAGAGGATTCTTTTTGAAAAATAGAATTGAAGAAGTTAAAGACAACTAATATGAAAGCACAAACATTCAGTACAAATATTCTAAACATGCCTAAATTAAAAAATTAAAGCAGTCTTTTAGCCTAAATGTAAAGAGATTTTCAGTGTTTGCTATTTTGGTAGGACTAACACAAGACCTTTTCATTTATGTTTTAATTTACCTTTTTATTTACATTTTCGTTGTTGATTATATTTTACTATTTAATTTTATGTCACAATTATTGTACATAATAATAAACGAATAATGAAAAATAATAAAAATAGGCCTTATGTATTTAAGGACATGTGGTGAAACACTAAGAAATGGTCAGGCGCATGGTCTAAAAAGCTTAAGTTGAATACTGCTTCATAAAATAATTTTGCCGCAGGACATATCTCGCAGGTTTATTTTTAATAGTTTTCAGTTATTTTTTTGTTTCAAAACAACAATGTTCTCTTTAAAGTTCTCTTTAAAGTATAATGTTGTTTTGTTTTTTTTACTTAATGGCCCAGTATGTTTTGTATTTTAATTTCAATTTCAGTCACCTTGCATATGCATTTGAAATATAATGCGCGCATAACCGCGGAAAGAAAAAAAAACTGTCAAAGGTTAGAGCTAATTCATCAAAAGGTGCATTCTGCTTTCACTCTCCCCAAAAAATGCTTTGTTTGAACGATTTAATTATTATCATCGTACCCACTATATAAATATTTAAACCTTCTCTGGTGTTTATTGTTTTTAGAAAATATGTAAAATCTTTAAAAAAAAAAATATCTTGTAAAATGAAAGTTTAATTTGACTTTAACAGTTTCATTTATGTAGGCTACATAGACCTACCTAAACTGTTATAGCTTGCTTTTGCTTGTTTTATATTGGTTTATTTATTTAATGCGGTTTTATCCGATAATGTAATTCTTTAAATTATATTTTAATATGGCTCAGGCAATTTTTTCAAGATTTGACACTTGTTTTGAGTCTACAAAAGGGGACAGGTAATTTGTAAAGATTTATGTCTTTCTGTTGTCTTTAATATGGTGTATAGATTATTATGCGTTATTGAAACATCAAGGGGACGCAACAAAGTCACTTATAAATTAAAATTGTAAGCACATTAAAGACACTCATAAAATAAAACATTAATAAAACATTAATAAAGGAGTATCTTATGAAAAAACACCAATTGACGGGCTCTGCTTTCGGTTTTAAAAGAATCAAGCAGCTTTAAAAATATAATTTGCTGAAGAGAAATGACATGGAAAAAAAGATTAAACATATCGGCACTGTAAAAAGAACATTCCTCTTTGATATATTCTTTCCACTCCGACACATCAGCTAAGATTATGAACGACGGAGTGTTTCTCCTGCTTCAGCAGCATGTCCCGCTGGTTATAAAGGAGGAGGCGGAGAGAATGCGCTGCTTAGTTTCGGCTCGATATATTTAATTAAAAACTAACACCGAGCTGCTTATAACGCTCAAAAAAGTTAAACTAAAATGCACAACTCTTGTTGGTTGCACCTGCGGGATGCACAATGAACCTAACGCGCCATTATTTTAATTCTATATTCATGAAGAATGAGCCAACCGCATATGCTAAGTCAGTCCTGTTGGTCGGGACTCTCTGCTTTATAACTTATTAGTTTATTACAATAATCACACTTAGCTTTGCCATCGTTCTTCACCACATATAGCCACTCAACACATCTTGCGGTCCATCTTTAAATGTTTAGATTATTGAAGGTGCTATTGATGTTTTGAGAAAAAAAAAAAAATAGTACTGAAACTAAATTATTAAAAATAAACTTGCGGGACTTCGTTTATGTCCTGCGGCAACATTATTTTTATTACACTTTAAGTGATCTGCTTGAGGTAGGTCACGTTTATCAATGGTAAGTTTTAGCCTAAGTTTACATCAATAACATAATGTGCATTGTCCTTTACCATACAAAAAAAGTAAAAAAAAAAAAACATTTATTTATATAGCATTTATTTTTAAATGCATTAAAAAAACAAGCGCATATCTTAGCCTTAAGTTTGTTCACACTCTGCCTGTATTAACATAAATGCTGTATTTTAATATAGCTAATTTTGATTAGCTTTAACTGACAGCCTTTTCTTCTTTTTCCGCGGTTATGCGGCATTATATTTCACACGCATATGCAAGGGGACTGAATATGAAATTAAAATACAAAACTTACTGAGCCATTAAGTAAAAAAACAAAACAAAACAGTTATACTTTAAAGCAGAACATTGACGTTTTGAAACAAAAAACGGAACTGAAATTAATTATTAAAAATAAACCTGCCAGACTTAATTTATGTCCTATTTTCATTATTTATTTATTTTTATTTTTCGTTTATTATTATGTACTATAATTGAAACATAAAATGAGATAGTAAAATATAATCAACAACGAAAATGTAAATAAAAACGTAAATTAAAAACATAAATGAAAATATCTTGTCTTAGTCCTATCAAAATAGCAAACTACATCTCTTTATATTTAGACTAAAAGACTGCTTTATTTATTTATTTATTTATTTATTTATTTATTTATTTATTTATTTATTTATTTATTTATTTATTTATTTAAGACTACTTATTTGTACTGAATATGCTTTCACTTTAGTTGTCTTTCATTTCTTCAATTTTATTTTCCAAAACGAATCCTCTTTGCACTTAAAAAGTTTACAATAAACCAGGTAAACAAATTTTAAATGTAAGTTGAGGTGATCGCAAGTTCACAACTGTGAGGTGATGTGCTCTACCGGCAGGATAATCTATATTATTTTGCTGTTTTTCATATGCGCACGTTTAAGATTTGAGATAATAACATTGCCATGATAGTCAAAGAAATCAAAACATTATTTTCACCCCAAAGCAATTTAATCAGGCACTGAAGGCTAATAACTTAATTCTTATATTTGCTTTTTGACTTCTCACCATGTATCTTTTCTACAGCATAGTATAGTGTAAGAGCATGTCTATTACCAGAAAAACTAAATTAAAATTATATTTTAATTGAACACATCACATCACATACAGTAAGCTACGCCTACAGAACAGTCTGTTTAGCATTGTGAAAAGGCAAAGCTGAATATCTGTGGTTAAAGTGCCACCCAGCGGTCAAATGCTGCTGGCGCATCAAGTACCGCCGTCGCCGCGGTATGAATGGCGGCACAAGGAACACATTGAAGTAGTAACATGTATGCAACCTGTTGTAATTCCTACATCGTTCACCTGATTTATATGTAAATACAAATCTTAAATTAAAACACATCTTGTTAGTTTTATTTAAATCCAAAAAAATTTAGAATTGTGTCGATTTCCAAATACTTATGGACCTAACTATATGTTGGCATTGAACATTTTTTAACATTTAAATTCAAGTTGGAAGGTTTTTGAAGGATTAATGTGAGACTAAAGACTAAAGTAAAAATGCTGAAAATTCTGTTTTTTATTTTTTTTATTTTGTGAGTCACTTAAAAAATAACATGGGGAATTAATCAATAATTAATCACAATATATAATCATCCATGATTAAATAGGTTTAAAAACATATTTTCTAGTACCTTCTTCGCAGTTTTCTCCTTTGTAGCCAGGATTGCAGATGCAGGTTCCCACAATGCATGTTCCATGTCCACTGCAGGTGATGTCGATGCACTGGTTTGTAGGAACATCACATTCAGACCCTTTCCAGCCGCTGTGACACATGCAGCGTCCTTTCAGGTACTGACCGTTCCCACTGCACAGCACAGGACATGATGCTGGAAACACACACACATTCACACACACAGAGATAAGTTAAAAGTTCTGCCAAATGTAGCTTCACAAGAACAGAATTCCTACTGGTCTGCTGGACTTTGGCAAGAAGATGAGCACTATACTGTAGCTGAAGTTACACTATTAAAAGTGATAGAGACCATATCTGGTTTAATGAGATTTCTGGTTTAATTTGAATTAATATTATTTTTTTATTTTTTTATTTTACATTTTTCCTAGTAAATATTATTAACATTTTAATTAGGTTGGCAACACAAATTTCAATAACAAGTATTTTACATTACATAAATACTGTCTATATCTATCTATCTATTTATCTATCTGTCCGTCCGTCCGTCTGTTCGTCCATCCATCCATCCATCCATCCATCCATCCATCCATCCATCCATCCATCCATCCATCGGTCCATCCATCCATCCATCCACTTAACCAACCAATCAACTAACCAACCAACCATCTATAGTATCCATCCATCTATACATCCATCCATCCATCCATCCATCCATCCATCCATCCATCCATCCATCCATCCATCCATCCATCCATCCATCCATCCATCCATCCATCCAATTAACCAACCAACCATCCATCCATAGAATCCATCCATCCATCCATCCATCCATCCATCCATCCATCCATCCATCCATCCATCCATCCATCCATCTGTCCGTCCGTCCGTCCGTCCATACATATGTCCATCCATCCGTCCATCCATCCATCCATCCATCCATCCATCCATCCATCCATCCATCCATCCATCCATCCATCCATCCATCCATCCATCCATCCATCCTATCTATCTATCTATCTATCTATCTATCTATCTATCTATCTATCTATCTATCTATCTATCTATCTATCTATCTATCTATCTATCTATCTATCTATCTATCTATCTATCTATCTATCTATCTATCTATCTATCTATCGTAAAATAACAAGTTCAAAATAAATGTTACTGTGTTTTTTTTTCTTCAGTAAATACTTTAGTGAAAAAAGAAGACACCATATATGAAGATATAAACAAAACTAATCAAATCTGAAATTTAGGGTTAAGCAAACAGAAATCTCACCCCTGCTGCAGTCGGGTCCTCTGAAGCCTGGAAAACAATGGCAGTTTCCAGACACACAGTCTCCATTTCCAAAACAGTTACTAGGACAGTCATCAATAGAGTCTGCAAGAAAACAACAGCAAACAACATTTGTCAGAAAGAAAGTGCATTCATCTATTCTTCACATAGATACAGTTTATCAAAAATCTGTGCAAAAACCTTGATTCCCCTCAGTACTCCATGATCGGTTTAGATTTTAAAAGGGTCATAAAAAAATAAATAATCAAGTTTGTCTTGATCTTTCAAAATAAGAGTTCACTGTAAATCCATATTGTTACTTTCAGAACTCAAACTTCTACCCCCAGGCAATTTACTGAAGCTGAGCAAAAAAAAAACTCCCATGCTCAGAAATAGAGCTGATATCAATGTTATTTTGAGGTTAGCATCAAAATAAAGATGGCTAAATGTGAAATAAGACATTTTGCTCAAGCTAAAATACTTTTGATAATCTCATTTAATCAAAAACAAAAATAATGTCTCAATCAATGAGTTAAGCCAGAGTTTGATATGTTTGATCGACCAATGGCATAAAAGAGGTTATGTCTGATGTCACCTCTGACACATTTTACCTTCAGCCTCAACTCTACTAGTATGCATGAAAGCCAATAAAGTGTATATCAAAATAAATTTATAATTAGCCATTTACCACTTTCCATAACAAGAGTGTCAAACAAATTGTGACATTTTCAGTTTGCTAGCAGGTCTAAGGTGAAGTGGAACTCAAGTGGCACCACTTGACGAATTTACTTCAGCCTAATGAGGAACTCTCTGTAATTAGCGTAGCTGTTTTTGTGACACGGCACTAACATTGACCATCGTGAAGCCAACATGAGAGCATGACACATCCAGCGACGCGGCTAATGGAAATGCCATCTAACACCCGAATTCACTGAAGCATGCTAATTTAAATGCAAGGAATGTCCGCATGCCAATTACAAGATTTCTGATTTCAAGCAGGAGCATATATATAATAAAATGAGTTTCATTACAGATTGCAGATATATTAAACAGACTCCTGGTGTGAAGAAGTGGAGCTTGATTCTGGGTAGACACCGGCTTTCCAAACACGGACAGCGCTCCAGAAGCATTTATCTTAATTTTGTGAGAATACATATATCTGGGGCTTAGCTTATGAATATCAATAAAGTGTGTGTATGTATGGTTTGTGATACACTCACTGGCCACTTTATTAGGGAGAACTGTCGAACTGCTCATTACCACAACTTTCTAATCAACCAGTTAAATGGCAGCAACGTAATACATTTCGGCATGTAGACATAGTCAAGATGCTGCAATTTAAACTGAGCATCAGAATGGTGAGTTAAGTAACTTTAAATGTGGGATGGTTGTTGGTGCCATACAGGCTGGTCTGAGTATTTCAGAAACTACTGATCTACTGGGATTTTCATGCAGAATGATCTTTAAGGTTTACTGAGAATGGACCTACCACAGCCTACCTAAGTATTGGTGCTGAATCTTTCCATCCCTTTATGATTACAATGTACCCATCTTCTGATGGCTTCTTCCAGCAGAATAATGTGCCATGTCATAAAGTGCAAATCATCTCAGACTGGTTTCTTGAACATGACAACGAGTTCACTGTACTCAAATGGCCTCCACAGTCACCAGATCTCAATCCAATAGAGCATCTTTTGAATGTGAAGGAATGGGAGATTCACAATATGGATCTACAGCCTACAAACCTTCAGCAACTGTGTGATGCTATCAATATGGACCAAAATCTCTGAGGAGTTTTTCAGTGCCTTATTAAATCTATGCCACAAAGGATTAAGGCAGTTCTAAAGGCAAAAGAGGATCCAACCCGCTACTAGTAGGGTATACCTAATAAAGTGGCCGGTGAGTGTATATGGATGTGGTTTGTAATTGAATATGAACAGAAAGTCTAAAATAACACACAAATGGTAAAGATTTTGTAATGCGATATTGTTCAACATAAATAACTTGCAATTATTCTTGATGACCTAGCAATTAAGGCAACATTTCAGTTGTCACCGAATTTAAAATCTGCATTTAAAATCTGTAATGTTCATTATCCTCCTTTTTCTGTGGTCATTTGCCAAGTTTTACACATAATTAAACAAATTTTAGCTCTTTTCAGCACAATATTAAACCCAACTTTCATCAGTAATTCTTTTTTAGATCTCCTAAGTATCCATTTTGAATCAGTTACAAGCACAGTGAGAGTGTGAGAAAAACAGATCATGTGTGCGCATGTAAATGACATGAACAAAATAGCTCATAGTAACATGTGCTAGCTACCTCTTCAGAAATATTTTAGAGCATATTTGTGAGATGATCAACGCTGGTTCCCTGGTGAAGCACACATTGATGTACTCAAGAAATATTTCTGGATATGAAAAAAGAAATGAAGGCTTTCAGCAAGGTTATGACATGAGGTTATGTTTACACGCCAACGATGTAACCAAAAGCTGAAAGCTTTTATGATTACACAGCATTTTCAAAAGATTTGTGTTGAAACATCTTTGAACATGGCCAAAATCACTGTATTACATATGCCAGGCCAGTATTTGGTGCTTGTTACCTTGTTAGAAAAGAGTACATGTAAGTAATGTAGGACAATGTGCCATTTTTATGCGTTTAGATTTAATAGCCTTTAATCTATCAGAAGTGCCCAAAGTTGGGCCCACAGGCCAAAGTTGGCCCATTGTAACATTTGGTTTGGCCCACCATCTCATCTGTAAAGAGAGGGAGAATGATGGGGAGTTGGTTGTGGCAGATGCCTTTGAGAGAGATCACCATTTCGGATTTAACACAACCTTTTATTTCTGTGTTTAATTGAGGAGCTACAAAAAGCCAAATAAAATGAAATGTTTTATGTATATGTTGTAAATTAATCAGACTTTTAAAATATAAATGCTGTCACTTGACAGATACACAAGACATCGGTGAGCAAATTAGGGCAAAGTCAGGAGTAGCTCAACTAGTGTATTCTGCATTAAACTCCATTGTGTTATAAATGGGATTGCTTATGTTTTTACTATACTAAGTTGCATCATAAATTAATATGTTTAAAAAAACATTTTCTAGTTACTTTTTAAATCTTAGCAAATAAATTAGGAAATTAAGCATGGTTGGTCTGATGCAATACAATTTGGTATATTCAAGTTCAGCCCACAGCCGAAGTGTTTGGTTTTTGGTTTTGGGCCCTATATAAGAAAAAGTTTGGCCACACCTGTTCTACACTCTCCTAAACATGTGCATATTCATATGTTTTCAGTTCCCAAAAACTATTTTAATATTTAAACAAAAGAGCAAAACTCATAAAAAGTGTTACTATGTTTACTGATAGTAATCTCTGGAATTACCAGTTCATTAAACTATTTAATTGGTCACCTTCCAGCCAATTAAAATTATGAATTTCTATAGACTATAGAATAAAGCATTTCAAACTTCTCAATCAAATGCATGTGAAGCTTTTTCAGTCTCATACCCAAACAAGCAGATGCTCAAACAAAACTACATGTCAAGACAACTTAGATAACAAAATCTGTGACTTCTCAGCTTGGAATAGCTATAAAGAGTGTGAATGGGGCTAATAGCAATGGGAGTGAGATTGTCAGACATTTAGCTTTTGTTTATTTTATGTATTGTAAAACTTTAAGTGTCATATAATGTGTATTTATTTAGCGCATTTATTATGTATGGCCATCACACTGATTGGGAGACCATGATCAGTAACGGCCAATGGAGAAAATTTGGCCAGAACACCAGGGTTACATCGTTGCTCTGCACGAGAAATGCCATTGGATTTTTAATGACCACAGAGAGTCAGGACCTCAGTTTAACATCTCATCTGAAAGATGGCTTTAACTGACAGTATACTAGCCCCACCACTATACTGGGGCATTAGAACACACACAGACCACAGGCTGAGCTTTCCCTGTTGGCCTCACTAAGACCACTTCTAACAGCAACCTAGTTTTCCCAAGTGATCACCCATCCAGGTACAGACCAGGCTCAGCCCAGCTTAGCTTCAATAAGTAACCGCCTTGAGCTGCAGGGTGATATAGCTGTGGAATTTTATGATTGAAGCAATTGAGCATTTGCTGGTTTCTATCTCTTTCTTCCATGAATGAGTGCAAGTTTAAACTACTGTTGCAGCAGCATTGCACCCACTTCCAGCGTAAACTTAAAACACCAGCAAAGAAACCTGAGACAGTGGAACATAGGAATACTGCTGCCTACTAGCATTACAAACATGTTGTAGAAGTGCAAAATGTAGAAGTATAAATCTCTATAATGGCAATGGATGAGGCATGGGGCAGGACAATTACTCTAAGCAGAGTTATATGTTGGACTTTAAAGGCCACAAAGGATCTTGTGATGTTTTATTTATTATTGTATGATGTTATTCAAAGTATTTTGAACTTTCTGGATTAACATGAAATAAACTGAGGATCACTTTCTGTTTTAGATGTATAATATTTAATAAGGCAGTGTGGACAGATTTATTCGTGACAAAACCTAATGCTATTATGCAATTAACACATATTCTAACATGACAAATGATTTGTGCAGATGTAAGCAGACAGAACCTGAATTGAAAATAAAAGAGATAGTTAAGCCCAAAATGAAAATTCTACCATCATTTACTCACATTCTTTGAACACAAAAGAAGACATTCTGAAGAAAGCTGAGAACCTGTAACCATTGACTACCATAATTTGGTGTTCCTACTGTGGACAAACTGAAGAGACCCAAAAAGGTTTGGAACACTAATAGCGAGTAAATTTTCATTTTTTAGATAAACCCTTTAAGTAGCTATAATAAATATAGCTGCAAGCAGCAATTATCAGGCCCAAGCAGCCCAGCGGCCACGTAAACAAGCATGATAACAAGCTACAGAGCAACTGGAAAATTCTATAACATTTTGGCAGGATGACCTGAGCCAAATTTGGTGGAAATTGGGCTAACAATCTATGGAGAGTTCAAAACAACAGATTTTCAAACTAATTCAAGATGGTGGACAGGAAATTTCATTAATAATGGTTAATGTTTATTAATTATTATAACTCTTGACC